CTGGAGTTAGTTGTTCAACTATTATTTGTATATGTAGTCTTTGCTATGCATTATTTAATAACATTCATTATATTCATATTACCACCTATTACTATGGCCTGTGACCTGGCAGGGTTTTTATGGCTGGCTCTGCTTCTATTTGGTGGAAACACCAAGTAAGGCTGCATCTCTCTCACTCCTGGCCTGGGGGTGCCATTTTGGAAGTATTTACCCCCTGTGGAACTCGGCACGAGCTACACTGTTTTAGTGTTTATCTAGACTTAAAGTGATGGGTCAAATATTTGTGATGCAGATTGTGTGTCCTTTCTGCATCCAATACATGTGAATAGCGTGCACACACACACACACATATACACACACACAGAAAATTAGACAACATTCTTCTAGTGCTCAGAAACATACGCTGGATTAAAAGCCCAACTGGATTCCACAAAGGCACTCCAGCCATTGGCAGAGGTGTGAAGTTCTAAGTGATCTTTTTATGGTTTTACTTCATCTCACTTGTTTGTGGAAGTGAACATGTGAACTCCTTTGGGTTGGGAACTATATCCATGGCTCAGTCATACCTACCTTTAAGCAGGAATGGTTGTGAGTAGCCCTAAAGACAAGCACAAGGAGTTTAGTTCTTGCATATAGCTTCCACTCGAGGGCGGGTTTTGCCCATTGCTGCATCCTCAGCCTCTTGGAGATGCTCAGTACTTCCTGTCATCTGGAGGAAGGAGGTTCTGGAGGCAAGGCCTCATCGGCGAGTGGAGAGGGCCAGAATTTCTTGCTTTATCCAATTTTTGCTAAGCAATGTGATTTGTGTCTCCTTCCCTGCCCCTCCCCCCCAAACCATTTGCAGTTGGACCTCTGACCCCACAGATGCAGGTGGCTGTGTATCATTAGCACAGGCACTGAGGACACAAAGTAATGGTGGTGTCACCCTTGAGGGTGGGTACCTGCCCTTGGAGCAAACTTGGCCCTGTAGCCAGGTCTCTGTCAAGAACTCTGGATCCCATAGCACAGTGGGGCAATTCCAGCAGTATTGTCTGCTTCTTCCTGAGTACCACAGGCAAGAGAATTCTGTGCCAAGGCCTGGTTTTCATGCTACCTAGCTCAGAGACAAACTCTAGGGGCTGAGTTGGGGCCTTTGAATGCAGTCGGGCAGAGCAGAGCAATAGAAGAAAGGCACTAGCTGCATGCCGGTGGTTCACACCGAGCTACTTGGGAGGCTTCAGATCTGAAGATTGTGATTCTGTGGGACTTTTATCGCCAATTAACCACCAGAAAACTGGAAGTGGTGCTGTGGTTCAAAGTGGTAGATTGCTAGCCTTAAGTGAAAAAAGCTCAGGAAAGGACCCAAGTCCCTGAGTTCAAGTCTTACAACCACCACTGCCACCACCACCACCACCACCACCAAACAACAAAAAGAAACATGCTTCTCATGTATAAGAGCCTCATGTGTCTATCTCAGCATTGTGAACTGAAGCTCGGGTGTTGGCAATTATTACAACTGGACTTGTAGAGCACGCACTCCTATTTATAGGATCCTTCAATGAGCCAAGAAAGCACCATGCTAGACTCACATATCCATTGTCTTGTTCATTAACCAGGACTGATTCTCTCCCCCCAGGTTACATCTAGTCTTCTCAAAGAGGAAGTAGATTCTTAAGAGGTGGTGGTATGGGGGGGTGGTTTGGAAGGGCAAAAATTCAGTAATTCTTCTAAGGATCAACTGGGAAATGGGAAAACCAGGATGTGAATGAAATCTTTCCCAATCTGATATCTGGCCTTTCTAAATTAGGACTTATCAACCGATTAAAACAAATACAGAAATCTCCACTCAGGCTACCCACATTGAAGACATTGGGTTTCCCTGACCTTGCTTACAAGGTCAACACCATTAGCACAGACAGGTCTCCATTGGTCTTGCAGACCACATTCTCTCATAGAATGGAAAGAAATCCCAGTTGGACCAGCATTGCTTTTTTTTTTTTTTTTTTCCTTTCAATTTTTATTGAACACAAGTATTCTGACAGAATGCAAAGTCAAAATTCTCAGTTAGTACTCAGTATTTACACCGGTGAGAATGGAAACAAAGGTGTTGTGGATGTTTTCACTTGGTAAAAAGGTTTTATAACAAGAGAGAAGGCCCCCGAAGTACAGAATGCTGGGTAAGGGTCTTTGTTCATGGAGGTCTAAAAAAAAAACCCACCAACCAGACAGACAGCCTAGGGTGAAACCCTGGGATGTGGGAGGTTCCATAGAAAAGCGTGAAGACAGAACTCCACTGCGAAAGCTGCAACTATATACACCATGGGCCCTTCAGACTGGGAAACTGCTCATGGCACCCTAGTGGCCCTCCTGTAGAACTTGGCCTTGCCATTCTTTATGTGAATACATATGCATAACACACACACACACACACACACACACACACACACACACACACACACACACCAACATTGAAACAAATGGAGTTGATCCCTCCTTTAAAAGCAAAAAGAAAGAAAAAACCAAAAGGGAAACAAGAAGCTTGTATCTCTTAACATAAAAGATAGAACATCTCAAAAATGACGTGATTCCCTCTGATTTTAAGAGGAAGCATTGCGCTTTAAAAAAATAAAAGCTCATGCATGCCGAGACAAACATAATATGTAACACAGGAGAGGCAGACCAAAGGGTGGGTGGGCAGTTTGGAGTCCTAGCCAGAGTTCTAGGACTTGTCTACCCTGGGCCAGGCTATCTATGGGCTAACTATACCTCTTGTCTTTTCTCTTAACCATCAGAACCCCCAATTCCTTTGCCTACACACAACCAACCAGTTGGAGGAACCATCTCCAGGAGGCATCGAATGGCCTTTGGCCTGGTTGGTCAGGCCACTGATATCACAAGGTGAGAAAGCGATTCCCCTGGTCAGCCTGGTGACCGGAAGAACCCCTCCACTATCACCACTAGGCCCTCCCTGCCTCAGGTGCCCACCTCTCCCGTTCTGCTCGGTGCTCGGAGAGCAGTCTTCACCTTCCTTTTTCCTGTGCATTTGAATGACTGATCCATGCAGACTAGAGTCACAGGGCTGTGTGTTCTGGAATCCTCCATTTCCATCCCCAGGAGCTGAGAAAAATGCAACATAACCCCACATTTAGCAAATGACAAGACCATTATTTTTCACAGTTTGAAATTATCATCTAGCATCGCCACTGATCAGAGTGCAGACATGTCGGGACACGGGGGAGGGGGCGTGGAGGCCGACTTGCCACCCTAGCCTCTTGCTGCGTGGTACCTTAGGAAAGGAACGAGAGCCCGAGGATCAACTTCTGTTGACTTCTCGTCCTCTTCTTCTTCTTTATTATCACCATCATCGTGGTCATCATCACAATCCGTTTTTCACTTCCTCTGTCTTAAAGGCTTCAATTCCTTTTTAAGATTTATACTTTGTTTCCTGAATATGTGTTTTTTTTTCTGAACTATCTGCTATACCTTTCCACAACCAAACTATGTTGAAAGTTTTATTTCAATACTATGACAAAAAACACGTTTCACACTAAAGTTCACGCATCCACAGTGCACAACAAGCTTGCAGTTCTAAAGTAGAATGAAAAACAAAAAAGCAAAATTTCTATACAAAGGGCTGGCTTTTCCCTTCTCCCCCCTCCCATCCCTCTTGAAGTTTCTGTATTTTTTTCCCCTCTTCACTTGATTTCCAATCCAGGAAAGTTGTGTTATGACTCCAGATAGTTTTTTTTTTTGTTGTTGTTTCCTTTTTCTGTTTGTTTTAAAACAAATGCTGCTTAAGTGAACAGAAGGCCAATGTTACTTCACTTCAACAGATTTCCAAAAAAAAGACACTAATTCCCTGAAGTGTACATGCTCTTCTGCTCAAATCTAGATTCTGGGCTCAAAAGAAAATGGTATGTATATATTTTATTTGGCTTTCTACAAAAAAAAAAAGAGGGGGATGTTTGGGGTCAAAATGTGTGATCACCAAATACCAGCCCCAACTATACAATCTTTTCTGCTTCATTCAACAAAGCATTTGCGTGCCCATGAGTCAGTTCCTTTGTCATAGACACAGGCAGGCGGCAGCTAATCAGAAAGTGGTCTAACCCCTGAAGGATCACCAAAAAGAACCAAAAGTCCAAAGGCAAAACAATGTCAGAATGAGATGGATTTCTACCTGAGTTGGACACAGGCAAAAACTGCAAATGAGGACAGGGAGGAAGAGCCGCCCAAATCAAAGTTGTCCCATGTTCATGAAATAAGGCTGCCTCTAGGCGATATTTGTTACTTAAAAAAAAAAAAGGCAGTATTTTTTTTACATGGACATTGAAACAGAGAACTGAAGTCAAACACATGTCAACTTGTAAACACTGGAAACAAAGTTGTCAGAAAGGAAAGAAGAGGGGTGAAAAAAGGAAAGAAAAAGAAGCCAATGAAATCGGAATCCTGAAAATGGAGAACCCTTCCCCTCCCCGAGAATTTGCAATTTGGCATAATTATGAAATAATAAGCATCTACGTGGGAAATGAATTCAGCTAGAAAGGGTGACACACTTTGCATAAGGGAGAAATACAATGTGAACAGAAATGATAACTTATTTATGAGGTTTGACAGACGTCCAACTCGACTGAAAGTATAAAAATAAAGCGTGGACTTTGTTCATCCAGTTAGTCTTAGTGACTGGAAGTTTGTTTTGTTTTATTTTATTTTTTTCCTTTCTGAAAACTGGTCTGTGCCAATTAGGTTACACCAAGTATGGTCTTCCTGAACCTAGACATTTTTTTTTTTCTGAGCTTCCTAGATTCTTAATTTGGGGTCCTTTTGTTTGATTTTTAAATGGTTTCAGGGAACAGAGTGTCCTAGTTTGGGTTTAACCTTTTGTCTCATGTTCTTGCAACAAAGGAGCCCTTTCTATAAACCTACAAAAAGGAGGTCCTATGTTTATCTGTTTAGTTTTCTTTTCTTTTTTGAAGGCAAAAGACACTAGAGGAATGAGATTTTGTGTGTGTGTTTGTGTGTGTGTGTGTGCGCATGTGCACACGCATGTGTGTGTGTGAGTGTGTGTGTGACATTGGGAAATGCTCTGGTGAAGCCGCTGTGTCACTTTTCCTGGCACCGATCACGCTTTGCTTTCATTTTCCTTTGTTTGTGTGGTGTCATTGGGGACCGTCTTGGCTTCGGCTGGCGCTGGCTTTGCTTCTGACTCCTGGCTTTCCGACTTTGCTTCTACTGGGCCCTTCCTGCAGAGAATCGACAAACAGCACCACTGAGACACAATTGCTGCACTGCTGCACACATCTCCCCCATCACCCCACTTTTTGCCATACCCTGGGGAAGGGGTGGGGAGCTTCTGTGATTTTGGCTCCTAACCTTGGAGGTACACTGGCAGTCACCTGGGAGCTGTATCCTGAGCCAATTTCCCAGTTAACTCCAGGCACAATGACTTGTAAAAAGACCTAAGTGTGCAGCCTTCAATTGCAGTCTTTCATAAAACTTGAGGCAGGGCAAGGGGTGGAAAAGGAATCCCTTTTCTCACCTGGACAAACTGTGCGTCAGTAGCTCAGCTTGCTATGTCCTAGGCTGCTTATACTGTTTTACCCACTATTAACCACCTCTTTCCTGCTGGCCCATTCCCTCCTTACCCCCGTCTCTAACATCTCCCCGCCCTCCCATCTCCATCCCTTGGCCTCCATGCTGTAGCCTCTACATAGTCCAAGTGAGAAAATAGCGAAGGGGGAGAGAGGCTGGAGAGGGCTGCTTGTTGGGGGGTGCGGGGTGGGGAGGGCAGTCCTTTAACTTCCTGACACCCAGATGAGGGCTCTGGGCTACAGCCTGCTGGCATCATACCAGCTATGTGGAGACAGCCCTGGGAACCTCCACAGAAAACCCAGGCCTGCCTCTGTCACCAGCCATGGATCCCAGAAGCCAGAGAGCCAAGGCTGCGGGGAACCGGCACAGACCTCAGCCTTCAGTGCCGTGGTGTGAAGCACCACATGATGAGAAACTGGAAATCGTAAGGACCTGGGACTTAAGAGACCCAGCAGACAGTTATGGGGCTTGAACTCGAGACCTAGGCGCTGTCCCTGAGCAATGTTTGCTCAAGGCTAGCCCTTTAATCCTTTCAGCCACAGTACCACTTCTGTTTCTTGAGTAGTTAACTGGAGATAAGAGTCTCATGGACTTTCCTGCGTGGGCTGGCTTTGAACCGTGAGCCTCAGATCTCAGCCCCCTGAGTAGCTAGGATTACAGGGTGAGCCACCGGTGCCTGGCTCATTCTTTTTTGACCGATCTTCCCAGATACTCTAAAGGCCAACAGAAGTCAACTGTGGCTACCTTGGCTAGTGTGTGGCTACCTCACCAGACCTGGGGGGGGGGGAGGGGCAGAGCTGTGTCTTTTCTTCCTGCTCTCTGGTGCCTCTCTTGGGGGAGCACTCAGCCCTGTCCCTGAATGTCCCTGTCCCCCACATCACTGTGGGCCCAGGTGGCAGACACAGGCACCGTGGCCTCCTTTAGCTCTTTCCTCAGGGGTCTGACTGCAAGGCAACCTCCAAGGAGAACAGAAGTGCAGCCAGGATGATGAGATAAAACGTAATTAAGGTGGCCTAATTAGCGAGCAGGAGGTTGGTGGCTCCTCTCCTGGTTCACCAGGACCCTGCTGGCTGTCCCTTCTTCTACCTCAGCCCAGCCCTCTGGTTGAGTCACTCAGAGAAGCCCCCGGGGGAGGCCGAGGACACATCTAACAAGGAGGACACAGCACACGCAGCACACACGCACACAGGACACAACCCAATGACAGCAGACAGAGAGAGGTCGTACTCGATCTTGGCTGGTGCCGGTGGAACCGAGCTCTCGGCAGTGGAAGATACAAGCTCAGGGGCTTGTCCACTGGCCCCAGCGGCGGGAGCAGGAGAGCCCAGGGCTGCAAAAACATCCTTTGCAAGGTCAATATCTGGGGTCTTGAAGTTCCCTTCGTCCATTTTTAAGTCCTCGCCCTGGGAAGGGTTTGTGGCGGTGACGGAGGCAGCCTCGCTCTTCGGGCTAGCGGAGGCTGGGGAGGCCTTGGGTGGGTTCTTCGCGGTGTTGGGCTGGGTGGGCTCTGGGTCCGGGCCTTTGGTGCTGGGGGTCTCCTGCTTGGCCTGGGGGGCTTCTGTGGCCGGGGCAGACGCTACGGGACTGGCTGTCCCGGTTGGGGCGGAGGCTGGGGGAGGGCTGGGCTTGCTGGTGGGGGGGGTCTTGGGGGCCTCCCCGACACTGGGTGGGGCGCTCGGGCTGAGGACGGCTCCTTGATTGGCCAGGACACTAGAGGACAAATTGTTAGCAGCCGGGGCTGAGGTGGGGGTATCGCTTAGGTCAACGAGGGGGGCGATCTTGGGGGCTGAGGCTGGGGGAGGGGAGGAGGCAGCAACCCCAGACCCCTTGGAAGGGGTGGCCTGGCCAGCGGGCACAGAATTGGAGTCCAGCGTGGCAGTGGCCGGAGGGGCAATACTGGAAGTGAGGGTGGTGGTCTCACTGGTGGGGCTGTTCTGAGCAGTGGCAAAGGTTTCGGTGATAGTATCAGAGTTAGTGGTGACGGTGGTGACAGAAGGCAGCATGTCCTCGACAGTGGCTGTGGTGTCGGCAGGCAGCCTGTGGGGAGGACAGGAAGTAGAAGAGAAGACACGATGAAGCAGAGACATGACAGAGAGAGAAAGAGAGAGAGCCGGGCAGGAGGGCCGGAGAGAAGGAGAGGCGGGGGACGGTGGGTGGGTCATGCATTCACGTACAGGCAGGAACACTGGGTCACAGAGAAAACAAGCACGCCAAGAGAAGGCACACGCCCAGGCGGGCAGAAGAGGTTACAGGAGACGACAAAGAACGTGGCAGTCGCAAAGGGGCTCTGGCTAAAGCTTTCTTCCCTGCCGACGGACCCCCAGCTCTCTGTACAGTGCTCCCACCACCCCCTGCACACACAGGTCCTCAGCTCTCGGATGCCCGCTCCAGGATCTCCACGCCAAGAAGAGGCAGGGCAAGATTTCCTGGGCCCCAGAAGAACTGACCCCTGGCAACTCCCCTGCAGGGCTCCGCAGGGCAAGGATGAGGAACAGAAAGCAGATAACATGTGATCCCATGGCTCCCGAGAGCTATGCATTCTTCCAGACACAGCTCTATTCCTAGCAGCTCCCCAGGATCCTCTCCCACCAAGCCAGGCAGGACAAACACAGCTGGTCGGGGTCTCTGAGGACACCCCTCCCAGGAGGCTTCTGATTAGCAGAGGGGTCAGGGAACTCTACCAGGTCTCCTCACCACTCTGATTCTTTTAGGAGGAAAATTGCACAGGACTATGTTTGTAAGTGACCCTCAACAGGATTGGCCAAGCCTCTCTCCATGAGGCCATCTCTAGAATAGGTATGTAACTTGAGATTCCCCCTTGGTACATAATAGAGCCAAGAATGCCTTCCCTTGAAGCACAGTGGGTTCAAGCGCTGCCCGGCCAAGTAGGTCTTCTGGCCCAATGGCTTCAGAATCCAGGCCTGCCATGTTTGGCCGGAAGCCGAGGGTAGGAAGCAGGGAAGGCATGGGTAGGGTGATGAGGTGGGAGTGTGGGGTTCTACTAAACAGGTGCCAAGTCCTCCCTTCCGCCCTCCCTCCCCCCACCACATACTCAGGCTCTGTCAGTGGCGTGGTCTCATTGGGCTCTGTGTGTTTCCCCCCGTCGTGGTTTGGGGTCCGCTCCTCTTCTGTTCGAACTTCCACGATGGGTTCCTTGGATTCATCTTTCCTGTGGGGAGTTCTGCTGGTTAGATCCCGACGCAATCCGGCAGTGGGTAGGGCAACAGCTACCGCTCAGGTAGGTACCTAGGTCTCGGGTGAGGCTGGCTGGGCCTCGGAGTCAGGGAGGAGTGTACAAGCCTCACAGCCCAACTTTCAAGAGCTGTGTCACCTTGAGCAGCTAATGGAATCAGCCCTGCCTTAGTGTCTTCACCCAAAGACAGTGGCAAGCGTGAGGATGCATTTCACCTGGTCTGAGTTAAATGAGCCAATGCATACCAAGCGCATAGCATGTTACGGCAGTGAGAGAGCAAGTGCTCAAAAGCACACACACGCATATACATGTACGTTGTGAAGTATGTATATGGAGGGTCGTGTGCATGTGTGCATGTAGAGGTATATCGCAGGCATGTGCGATGCGAGTAACCATCGCCCCCTTCTGTCCCTTCTCAGCAGCAGCTGAGGGCCCTCAAAGCGCCTGCAATTTGCTCAGGATCCATTTCCTCAGAAATGCTGCTGGAGGAAACAGCCTTGGGACCATTGGCTCACCCCAGGACGTGGCTTTTTATCTGCTTGGCTCCCTAGAGCCTGGGAACGCTGCCTTGCACTCTGGAGCTACAGGAGAAATGTTTTGCCGGGTGATGAAAAGACGAGTGAATGAATGAGAGCCAGGTAGGTAATGCGCCCCTTAAAATGCTGGCCACCCACTTCCATCTGGGCTCTTCTTCAGCCTCAGCTCTGATGAGTCTCTTATTCAGGTGACCTTCCCGGGGATCTCCAAACTTCTGACAAGTAACCCCACCACCATGCTTAGAGACTTCCCATAATGCTCTGCCTCTCAGGGTTTCAACCTGGGGAAGGAGAGCTAAAGGCAAGGTCAGTGTGGTTCTGAAGGGCAGCTCTGAGGTGTGACACACCGCTGGGTCCTGGCTAGGGGCAGGGCCCGGTGTGAGGGTGAGGGAGGGCTGTACTCACGAGAAGGCGGCCTTGCCCTCCTCCATGTCCTTGCCCTTGGCCCCAGGTCCGGCCTTTCCGCACAGGTTGACGGCAATGCACATGAGCAGGCCACACTTGTTCAGGAAGTAGCAGGTAATGTCCACCACGACCAGGAGCAGGACAAAGATGACGATGAGGATGCCCACGATGGCTCCGGTGCTCAGGCCCGAGGTGGGGCTGCCGTTGGCTTAAGAGGGGGAAAGAGATGGCTGGTGGTTAACAGACTGAGAGAAGAGTTTTCTGACCCTGTGATCTACTGCCCTTGGGGTTAGGGAGGGCCTAGAGCCTAAAGCCATGGCACGCATGCTCAGTGGCACCTTCTCTCTGGCCTCCGCGTGCCTGCTGTGGAGACAACAGCATCTCTACCTCTTCCAGAGGGGAGAAATGGCTGCCTCGGTTCACCTAGGAGACAGCAGTATGTGAAGATGTAAGTTGGGATTTGGGAGTCATGTCTCCAATCACCCACTCAGCCTTCCTGAGTTCTGGGAGCAGGCTGAGCGCAGCCACACAACATCTGGGGATATTGGATGCGGACAAAGTGATTGGGCACTGTGATATGTGTCTGGTACCTGAGCAAAAGGCTTTACTTTCAGGACAGGCAGGTAATGGTGGCCGGTTTCAGGCTGTGAGGGGAGGGACAGGGTCCCTAATGGCTGCAAATGGTATTTCCAGGGTTGCCTGGAGCTAGCAAGGATGTCAGGGCCAATGGGATGGGTGCCTTACTCTCCTCTTCCCCTTTTGCAAGTAACTCTAGCGAATCCCCCGCCCCCACCCCGCTCCAGAGCAACCCAGGGCTCACAGCTCATCCCCGCTCTGCCACCGCCCAGCAAGCTGAATGAAGTCACATGACTCCAGAGATGTGGCGTCTCCCCAGGCCTGATGGGTAAGGTGAAAGATGTCTGGGAATACTCACCGTCTAGGAGCTAGGCAAGCTTGCATCAGACTTCAGGGAAACCAGCAGACCCACGTGACGCTACACACTCACACACAGCCATTCCCACACACGCACCCTGGCAAACACATTCCCAGCAGTATCCGGCTGCCATTCTGGTGGGACTCACTCTGAACGACTCAGCTTCTGTGTCTAGCTCCCTGGTGTTCACCTACAGTCCCGAATGCTATCACAGAAGGACCCAGGCTCGGCTCCCTGCATGGCTGTGATTGACATCAGTTGACCAAGATGCACCCGCTGACCCTTGGTGACTGCCAGCAGTGTCTGAGAGGCAAGGTAAGGCAAGGGGCGATGGTGTGGGATACACGATCCCATGCAGAACTCTGCCTATATGTCAGCATGGAAGCAATGAGCCCCATCTAAAATATAGGCACTGCTGGTTAGTTTTTCTTCTGGAAAGACTTGAGTCCACAATTGCAAGAAGGCAGGAAGGAAGGAAGCAAGCAAGCAACAAGGAAGGAAGGGAGGAAGCAAGCAAGCAAGCAAGCTTCCTGTACTCTCGGGGTCTCCTGAGGTTACCCAAGATCTCAGGAATTGAGTAAAGAACTATGGGCAATACAACCTGGGGCTTGGTCCCATCTGACCCCAAACTCAGCTTCCTATGCTTGGTGGGCTGGGCCCAGCATCCTGCCATTCATGCATCACACAGATAATGGGAGCGCTGTGTGACCCATAGTAGCCAGCACTATAGATGGGGCATTTAATCAGCACTATAGCCACTATGTTTGCCCTCCCTCCCTCCCTTCCTCCCTCTCTCCCTCTCTTGCTGAGCATTGAGCACTTCCAAGGCAGGTGCTCTACCACTGAGCTCCACCTGCGGCCCCTTTCTCTCTCCCTTTCTACATGGGCCAGCCAGCCTGGGCTGCAGTCTTCCTCCTTGTGCTTCACTGGAGGTGAAAGCTGCACACCACTGGGCCCAGCCAGTGTGCTTCCCTGAAGGTAAGATAGCAGGCAGGCAGCCAGCGATGACTGAGATGGACTCTCTTGGACTCTTATGCTGGCTGGCCTCAGCACAAGATTCCTCCATCTCTGCCTCTTGAATAGCTAGGATCACAGACTTGGGTCACCGTGCCTAGGTTCGTTCACTCCTTCCTTCTTTTCCCTCCCTACCCCCCATTTCTTCTTTCCTTCTTCCCTCCCTCCCTCCCTTCCTTTTAAGGTCTTACTATATGTAGCCCAGACTGGCCTTGAACTCATGGTCTTCTTGCTTCAACCTCCCAAATGCTGGGATTACATGTATGTACTGCTAAACCCCACCACTGTTATCTTCTCATATAGCCTGTGCTCCTGGGGGAAGATGCTCTGCCCATTCCAGGGATCCTTGTGCAACCACTGAACAACTTTCCCAGTGGCTGTGACTCTTGGCTGGTCCACTTCAAACCCCAGTTCTGGTTATGAGCTACTGGCCTACAAACCACACAGGACCACTCGCAACCTACTACTCTGGCTGCCATGGGGCCTGAGTTGGAGCACATCAATGGTTTAAGTCTCTTTGGGACCTTGGATTGCTTCTCAGAGTTTTCCTCCTCAGGCTCCCTAGTGGGTCCTATTCAACTTTGTACGGAGGACCTCACCCTGTGCCCTCAGGCAGACTCACAACTAGCAGAGGACTCTGGCTACCTCGTCTCTGGGTATAACCAGAAGGTCAGCTGCTCACTTCAGCTGTCAGCTAGAGTGGGTCATTCTCCTCAGCAGCCTGCTAATGCAGAGGTGCTTCTGGCTGGTTATATGAGAAGGAAGCGCCAATCTGCTTCCCCATGGCCCTCACCCCTGTGAGAACAAAGGCACCACAGGCTTTCTAGATCCTTAGGAGAAGCCAGAGTGGCTTTCTTGAATGAATTGGGCATCTTAGCCTTGTATTTTCCATTCTAGTGGCTTAAAGCCATGACAGTGTCCAGACATTAGTAAACTGGTTGGTGTATGTTCATACTTTCTGGAGGAGTTGAAAGTGGTTTTGAGTGTGAGTGTGTATATGTGAATGTGTGTGTGTGTATACACCTGTGCATTTGCACTCAATGGCACTAGGTCTGAGACTTTTACATAGACTCTTCTATAGCCGAGCCTGTTCTTAAAAAGGAGAAGTAAGCCAGGCACTGGTGGCTCACTCCTGTAATCCTAGCTATTCAGGAGGCTGAGATATAAGAATTTCAGTTTGAATCCAGCCTGGGCAGAAAAGTCCCTGTAAGACTCTTATCTCTAACTGACCACTCAAAAACTGGAAATGGTGTTGTAGCTCAAAGTGGAAGAGCACTAGCCTTGAGCAAAAGAGCTCAGGATCAGTGCTTAGAACCTGAGTTCAAGCCCCGCCAACTGACAAAAAATTAAAAAAATAAAACAAAATAAAGGGGGCTGGTGGCTCACACCTGTCATCCTAGCTACTCAGGAGGCTGAGATCTGAGGATTCCCCGTTCAGAGACAGCCTGGGCAGGAAAGTCTGTGAGATTCTTATTTCCAATAAAGCACCAGAAAACTGGAAGTGGCACTGTGGCTCAAGTGGTAGAGCACTCGCTTTGGGCTGAAGAGCTGAGGGACAGTGCCCAGGCCCAGAGTTCAAACCCCACGACTGACAAAAAATAAATAAATGAATAAATAAATATAAATAAAAAATAAAAAAAAGAGAAGTGAAGCACTGAGACCTGGTGGATGTGTGAGGACACAGCGCTGGCTGAGTTTCCGCTCTGGGCTCAGCAGATGTAGTTGGGAGGCTGCCCTGGTTCTGGGCGCACTGGAGAGGAGGAGCATGAGGGTGAAAGACTGTATGTGCAGTGACACCAATGAAGTGTACAGCAGTGGTCTCTCCTTCCATTTGATATACAGTCCACAGAACATTCGCCCTTGGTTGAATGTTCTGCGGCTTCTGCCCAGCCCTCTAATTGAATTCAAGGTTACTACCACCAATCAGGAGTTCCAAACCTTCTGTGTTTCGCCTTCTGAGCATACCAGCCAATCCCGTCCCAGGGCCGATTGACTGACTGGAAAACTTCCTTCCTAATGAGACCCCCATCAGAGGCCCTCGGGCCTCAGACTTCATACTGCCTTGGAGTAGTCTCCCCCGATCTCTTTTATTCTCTTTTTCATTACCACCTACTACTTTCTATTCATTCTAATCATGTCTAGCCTTTCCCTCTAGGCCACCTTAGCAGGTGTCCTGTCTCATTTCTCCAGCATTCAAGATAACCTGTTCACAGAATATCTGTTGTACACTTGAATATTGTGTTAAGCCTGCTTCTAAATATTTACAGGTGTGTCATAAGGAAGTAAACGTAGCTTTGTCCCACTCAATAGATGCTAATTATGGGGATGAGGGAAGATTGCAACTTCACACGAGAAAGGGCGAACCACCTGCTAGTCAAAACAGAGCCGTGGTGGGTGAGCTCCCTGATGGAGGCATTCAAGCAAAGGTGAGACAACCCTGGGTAGAGATGTTGTAATGTTTGGGATCCCAATGTGGTACCCAGCAGGGCATTCTGTATAGGATGTCTGCAAGTCTTCTTTAACCACAAGTGCCCACTATTCCAAGTCTGTAACTGTGCACATGGAACAGATTCCCTAAGCCACTCTCTCTAGTATACACTGAGAAAGAGTTTTTTTCCTGGAGGACAGAAACACTTGGTCTAGTCCATCTTAAATCACTAATTCTTGTGATTTTTATTTTTTCTTTAAAAACCCAATGCTTTGACTCACTCTGGTGGAGTTCTTGGGGGTACTCAGATTCTGGGGCTCCCTATTTCTCTGGAATTATAATCCTTGGGATGAGGCACAGGAATCAGGGATGGAACAAGTACCCAAGCTGATACAAAGGGGGCCCACGATTCCTCTCCTGTATCACAGTGAACCACAGCAGATTTTAGGATCCATCGCCGAGCTAAAGCTGTGCAGCCACTACTGATAACCGGACCGGGCCTATGGGACTGAACAGCTCCAGAGAAAGCAGACTTTCCTGAAGGAAGAGGGCCACCATGCTAAGAATTAAGACTTCCAACTCAAATTGGAAGGAGAATGCTGCCTACATCCACAAAAAGAAGTGGTAAACAAAGACAGGCCATGTTCACTTCCTTCTTAGTAGCATTCTAGGATTGTTTAGTCAAGGAACGCTGGAGGGGTAAACGTTTTCCCCACATTTCATGTAACAGTTCATAAAAGTGTTTTTTTTAAACCCCAAGTTTGTGGAGAGGCTCTGTTACTGCATTTGCCACCATGATTTCCCCATCTTTCTTGTATATCCTACATGCAAT